AGTTATTGCCTATGGTAATACTAGATCTTATCACTGTTCTATAGATAACATGTTTGTCAACGCTGTGCTATAATAAATTAGCGATTAACTAGATGGTCGTTGCGGCAGTACACGTGAGGTCTGATATTACAATATGGTATTTCTTAGACGTTTATTGTTAAACGAGGAATCAACGTAGTACGTCTGGATTTGTTTATTGATAGCCGTTAGCATATGGCAAACATTCATTGTGAACTATTAAAAAACTAACATAACTCGTCGAGAGCTTTGCGATTGCTTTGGAACGATAATGCCAACGTTCAGTGAACACAAACGGGAAAAAGTAATGAACGAGATAAACCTCATATAACAGCGTGAAGTTATAAACAGTAATAGTTATTTTATATTAACCATAATTATACAACTACTGAATATTTTTACCCACTCTTTTGGAGAAGTTTTAAAAATTATAATTTTCCTAGTATACATTTCCTCAGTTAGAACGTCATTTCTGTTTTCGCTTAGAATTTATAACAAGGAGATAAATCATACCAACACCTCCTGGGAAACTCATTTTTCCAAGNTGGAGAAGTTTTGAAAATTATAATTTTCCTAGTATACATTTCCTCAGTTAGAACGTCATTTCTGTTTTCGCTTAGAATTTATAACAAGGAGATAAATCATACCAACACCTCCTGGGAAACTCATTTTTCCAAGGACGTAACACATTTTCTTTTTTGTACTTTTGTCAGATTAAAATTATTTTTTAACAAAAATTATGCAAATTCAGTACATATCAAACTTATTTACGGACAAAAAATAATTATTTCATTTAAATTACATCGATTTTCCTAGGAGATGTAGATATTTTATTAGTTATAGAAGAATCAAAATAAGATACAGAAGTAACGAGGAAGAAAGGTCATAAAAAACCTGGTAAGAATATCTAAATGAACTATGACAAGGGTATTGGCCTAATACAAATTCAATGTCAACTTGCAATATTACTTTGTAGTACACGTACATCCGGTAAAATATTTACTATCGGCAGGGCCGGTGGAAGGGCAAAACCAATGTAATTCTTTAGGCTCTCGAGCAAAAAGTTTATATTTTGGAACTCAGTTAAATAAAAAATAAATGAACTATTTTATATAGAAACAAAAGTTTTATCATTAATAAATGTGTAATTTAAAAATTACATACAAGTAAAAATTATAGAGAGTAATTCATTTATCACGAATCACTTAATTAATCAAAATATAAAATTCATGTTGAAAATCTTTGGTTTCTTTTAGGTACGTTTTTTTCAACTTATCAATTATAAATGATTTTTTTTTTTGTTTATCCCTTATAGTTTAAATGGGTATCAACTTTATTTTTTGAAATGACAACATACANGAGATGTAGATATTTTATTAGTTATAGAAGAATCAAAATAAGATACAGAAGCAACGAGGAAGAAAGGTCATAAAAAACCTGGTAAGAATATCTAAATGAACTATGACAAGGGTATTGGCCTAATACAAATTCAATGTCAACTTGCAATATTACTTTGTAGTACACGTACATCCGGTAAAATATTTACTATCGGCAGGGCCGGTGGAAGGGCAAAACCAATGTAATTCTTTAGGCTCTCGAGCAAAAAGTTTATATTTTGGAACTCAGTTAAATAAAAAATAAATGAACTATTTTATATAGAAACAAAAGTTTTATCATTAATAAATGTGTAATTTAAAAATTACATACAAGTAAAAATTATAGAGAGTAATTCATTTATCACGAATCACTTAATTAATCAAAATATAAAATTCATGTTGAAAATCTTTGGTTTCTTTTAGGTACGTTTTTTTCAACTTATCAATTATAAATGATTTTTTTTTTTGTTTATCCCTTATAGTTTAAATGGGTATCAACTTTATTTTTTGAAATGACAACATACATAATATATGTATCTACTAAAAAAATAACTGATCAACAACAACTTTTGAATCTATAATTATGAAGTTATTGTCATTTCTATATCTAAACGGGAGAAAAAGTGCGATCGTGAAATGATTAGTAATAAAAAAAACAATATACCTCATCCACCTTTAGCCATTACTATAAAATGTTAATAACTTTCAAAACACTGGTCCAAAGTTATTGACCAATTATTTCCTTAATTAGATCATTATCTAATAAATAAGCTGGTTAATTATGTAATGTTGTGCTTTTAAAAATGAACTCGGCACTCTTATATGGTATAAAGGATAAACATAAAAAATACTTTATGACTGATAAATCGAGAAAACGTGTACTTAATGGAAACAAAAAAATTCTCACTATTATTTTTATTTTACGATATTTTGTAATAAAATATCAGTTTAATTAAACAGAGTAATTCATTTAGAGGAACATTCTTTTCATTAACTCTATCCCCAAAAGTTTTGATATTTTACATTATACAGTTTAATTATCAGTTATTATACCTAATTATAACACTTGACAGGTGTTGTTGAAACACATTATTATTCAATAGTCGGTTAATTTAAACGAATTGATTTGATTTTTCAGAATATTTATTCTTGAATTAAATCATGTCTATTCTAATAAAAATTTTTTATATAATTATACGTATAAGTTGATTTTTTTATTAATAAACCTAATACCTTAGTGAAATGGGTTCAATGTCAATGTGTTGTAAATAGATTTAAGATTGGTACTTCTAATAGAAAAGCAATTACTGTACTAACTTTTTAACATTCATGATAAAAGGTTAAAAAAAGAATGTACGATATTAATTTAAATTTATTGAATAAAAAATGTAAGATACATTTAACAAACTCGAAGCGAAATAATTTTTTGACATGAACAGTTAGAATGACGCGTTGAAGATGATTATAAAATCAATGATGTGCATAAATTCTTGTTAACTAAAAAACAATTTGTGTCGATTCGAGTTAAATGTTATTTAAAATTTATGAGGATAATTTCATATACTACTTAAGGATGTTGATTTTATATCTTTATCGATACAAAAAAAATAATACAAAACATAATGTAGCACTTAATTTTAATTTGTTAAAGAGTGATTGTTTTCTATAAAAATTAAAAATTTGAATGTGAAAAAACTGTATAAAATTTGTTAAAAAGCTTTTCTATTGACAAAATTACGTCATGTTCTAACTTTACAATTGAGTTTTTATCCATTGATACTTAGATTTATTTTGCAAGACCAATATTCAATGAATAATGGAGAACATAATAATTATTCAATGCAATCAGTAACAGTAAAAATATTACCCTTGAATTTGAGATGAAACGGAATCTCAATTATATTTTGTTATTGCGAACGCGTTTTGGTTTCTTAAAATATTTTACATTCAATATAATAGGTATGTAATTCATACAAGACATCATAATCAGGGTTGTTACGTTTTAAACATTAAAAAAAACCAAAATCGTCAAAATTTACATTGGTCTTATGGGACGTTTTAAATTGTTTATTTATGTTATAAACGGATGAAAAAAATAACATGTTTTTACACAATTCTGATTATAATTGTTTCTATTCCAAACGTAATAAACATTGTCCCTTATTGCCTCATGAAACAGTAAAAATGTAAATAGTACTAATAATATCATAACAATCCAGGAAATTATATAACTTTAAATAATGAGCCAGTAACTAATGATCAAGAGACTTATTTATCATTTGCCAAATGATATTGTTTTTTAAGAAATGAAAAAAGCTTAGTAAAAAATGCAATTTTCCAAAACAAAATATCAAAAAAATAATTATTTTGATTCACACTACAGACATTACATACCTATCAAATACATATATTATGCATATACTACTATGATTAATTAATTAATTTAATTTGAAAAAAAAAAAATCATAAACACGTTTTTTTTCCACAAAAAGCCAAGTAATGGGATTATTTTTAAATGCACTACTGTTGGAGGCGCGCAAGTCCGAATTTTGGAAACTGGACTAAACACATTGTGGAAACATAAATAAAAGTCTTAAAACGTATAACGTAAAAATTGAACTGAACCACTTAAAGCGAACTAAGATTTATTCATCACAGTTGCCGGACATTAGCTACAGCAACTATAACTTATCGTACCAAAAAAAGAACAGTATATTTTCATTTTAAAAACCCTTAACCTGTTTTTGCTGTGAATAATTATTATGAATTTATTGAATCCCATTCACTCCATTTAAGGTCGTCGAAGGGTAACAAAACGGAACGTAATTGTACTTATAAGTACATTGTTGAAAAGCTGTGAAATATTTTATTTACAACTTTATTTAAACATATTCGGTTAGTTGAGCTTCCGGAAATTATATATTTTAATACTATAATTATGATTTCGAGCAATCTGATTTACACATTGTGCTATTTGTAAAAATCGTATAAATGATTTCATAGACCTTAAAATATTAACAACATTTTCCTTTATAACTAACGAAGCCTATCTCGTCGACATACAGACATGATTAATGCAAGAAAAGCAAAAATAAATATCATTACACTAAAACGCGACATATATAACGCGCACATGGATTTTAGTGGGAGTTTCATGTCAACAAGTTTATTATTATAAAAATAGTGTTCATAAATTATGTAATGTCGTCAATTCAGCGATAGCAAATCAAGTGAACGTATAATTGAAAAACAGCTACACGCGATCTCGACTTAAAAAAGGACAACCGCGTTTAACGGTGTACATATTTCCCCACGACTTTAACTCCATTGATAATTTACCGTGTTTGTTATCATAAATAGAAAATAATTTGTTGTTACTTGTACGCATACCTGTGTTTGCACTAACCACAGTACGAGATGATATCGAACATGACTAGAGTTTACAATATTTAAAAGTAAACGAACGCTAGTTTTGTTAATCACTTGAAATGTTATTCAAAGTACGGACGCAAATAGCTGTGGTACTTGAATAATTATCAATGCGAAACCGACATGATATTGATTAAATGCGATTTCAACTACGATAATGATGCACTTATCACTTACCCGTTTCGCGAATCGACGCTGTCTGATATTTCATCGTAATATTCGTAGTCGTCGGCCGTTTCTGATAACAGTGGCGTACTGTCGTAGATACCGCAAGCGGAGTCCGGTGGCCACGATGCTCCGTCCGCGGCCGCCACCGGCCGACGTCTGGATCGTCTCCGTTGTTGCTGCTGCTGCTGTCGGCCGCCAAAGGATGTGGCCACCGGTATGGTCGTGTTGGCCGACATGATCCTCTTGACCGACGAGGACAGGATGTTCTGTAAAAGGTACCGGAAACGGTACTGGTTAACAATGCGAAAACGATAACAAATAATTTTGACTGAGAAATGAAATGAAACCGAGTAAGACAATTACAAAAGTCAAAGATCAGCGTTTACACGTCGGCAAAAGCGGCAATGGCCACGCGACAACGCAGTGGCCGCGACCGCGAATAAGTAAATTGTTCTCGCACCCCACTCCGCGACTAAATCATCGAAGGCAACCGGTCCAATTTACTGCATCAGACGACACCGTTCAATCAATACTGAAGGTATTAAAATGACATTAATAAATCGAGTTCCTTATGATACTGACACCGTGACAGATAAAAACAACTGATAAAATACGGTGTACGCGTACAGTTTTTAAATGTTTCAAGAATTTGTAGCAACCTGCAGTCATCATGACAACACATGGAATTGTTGAACAAAGTGCCTTTGCGTGCGCGCGCGTTCACCTCGTATACCAACGCGTTTGTGTTCGTCGCATGAGGTAACCGTGTTGACATTAAACGTGTGACAATTGGATCAACAATAATTTTAGCACTAGGACAGTATACGAAAGCGGCGCCTCGACTTTAATACGCGGCAACGCTCTTACTTTTGCCTATATTACGCAGTCGTAGGAGTTATCATGAAATCATATTACGATGCACATCGTTTTAGTAAATGATGAGAGTCAATTTTTAACCTCATAAACGTTTGATTATTTCATCACACAAAATTACATTGGTCCTATTTTGCGAAATTCTCTTCCGTAATTTTCAAATGCAGAAAAAATATTATGAAAACGATTTTTTTTACGGTAGCTTTTTTCTATTGAAGACATTTTTGAATAAATATCACAAAGAAGTTTAATCGCTGTAAACTTTTTAAATTATTGTCAAATCAACTATTTCGTTATATTATTATGTAATGTAACAGGTTTACAACATTTTTTTTTTAAATATTACAATAATATTAATATTATAATATATTATTATTATTAAAATCGAAATTTTGTTGAATTTCTAATCGCGTTATGTTCATGACAACAATAATATAATTTGAATGATAAAACTTTTAATTATATGTTAAGAAGAAGGTAAAAACATATGTTTTATTTTATAAAATGATAAAATTCTACATTATATTTTAGTACAAAATTTTACATAAACCACTTAAGGCTATTATGTAACAATTCATTTATCAAAATTACTCTTAAATAATTAATTGAAATCAAAATAAAACCACTTTTCATTTCAGATATTAAATTACACTGAATTAAATATACAAGTAGTTTCATTGCTGTAACGTATAATTCAAGTTAAGTTACTGCTTCTAATGAATATTTTAAATTTTTATCTGCCCCCTCTTAAGTAATTAAGTCGATATTTGAGTAGATTAATTAATTTGATGTTTTTAGACGAGTTGCCTGGGTTAAGATCATAAAATTTATTGGTGTGCATAATATTATTCTATTCTAATATACTGTTATTTAATATATAACAGAGAATTAAAAAAAATTTATGTTGAAAACTAGTTTAAATTACGCTTAAAACGTACAGTTTTTGATGGTAATAAACCGTTTAAAACATAAAAAAAAACATTTTATTTGCAACCCTGACTTAATAATAATTACATCTTAAAAGAATCATAACGTCATTTCCTTTTCGTATTAATTGTGTTTATACCTTAGAAATCATTATTAAATTCTCTTATAAAAATAGAAGAGTCTATTACTAACTGTTAAGTGAGGGTCTCATTTCCAAATCTAATCATGTGCCAAACACTTAGTTCATAAAAATTTAATGATACTACTCATCAATTCAATAGAATATAATAGATTTTGGAAATAAGACCACATATTAAGTACATTTATAATAGGTAAGTAATAAGTTTTGAACATTAATCGAAAGTCAAAATAAAAGCTGTACTTTATCCTAAAACTTTTAATCATAATATTGATTTCAATTTTCGGTATATAATTTGTTTTGAAAATTAGGTCCTTGTGTATAAATTCGACTTTTATACGATATATTTATACACAAAGTTGACATCGGCACCTCTGACAAAAATGAACTTTATTTTCAAATATTATAAGACTTACAATTTCCCCGCTTTCTGACATATACCACATTGTAAATTAATGAGACTAAAGTTTTTACATTAAAATTCATAAACACTCAACGACTAATACACGAACTAAACCGACTGATACGTTTTAATGTATTTAACTTATTATAACTTTAACTTATGGTCTGTGCTATCGAGTACTGCTAAATCTTATAATACTTTGTTATACATATTTCATCAACAAATAGTATAAAACGATTAGTGTTTTGATTTAGACTTCATATTGTTGAATATAAAACAACCAGAACTACGATTGCGAAAAATAATAATACACCGAGAATATGATTAGACATCATATTTTTTATTGTATTTGTAAACTTGAACATTTTTCTTTTAGTCAGCATATAAATGCTGGTAATAATACTCCAAATAATTATACTAGACATCAGTTCATTCTCATTCTCAAATCACCTGGCTCTCCTTTTCATTTAATAACTAGCATTTTTTTTTTCCAAAAAGTAGTTACTTTACCTATTTCGAAAAAGAGTGTTTCATTTGATAATTTATTAGTTCTATAAAGACAATAACTTGCCTACAAACGAATTATTTGTGACAGCAGCTGTCGCCATCAAGATTTCATGACGACCAGGCGCCTTGTCCACACGACCAAGTGGTCTCACATGCAACAAAATTTCGTATATTTTTTTTAATATCACTTTACGTAAATGTATTATTAGATCTACACAATACGGAAATTTTTCATGATTTAAAAAATAAACATGTTGATGTATTGTTAATTTGTAAAACGTAAAGAAAATCAAACTCTTATAGATTAAAATATAACACTCTAAATTATAGCTTATTCAACGACTACTCTATTATTAAATTTAATATTTAAAACAGGAAATAACAAATGTCTCCAGGGACATTTTTATGTCACGCCACAATACGTTGTGTTAGGCTATAGTGATGGTTACAATCATTTCCATCCTGTGTTTACTTATGTACAGATTAATTCATTTATCACGAACCACTTAATCGATAAATAAAAATAAAGTTCACAATTTTTTTTAATTTATCAATCATAAAGTATTTTTTGTTTATCCCTTATACTTTATAAGGTTGTTAAATACAATTTTTCAAATAACAACATGTATAATTAACTAGTTTATTTATTAGATTATGATCTTATTAAAAAAATAACTAATCGATAACAACATTTGGATCAGTATTTCAGAAGTTTTTACCAGTATAAACTAATGACTGTGCACAGGTGATGCAATTTTTATTACTAGGCATTTTTCGGTCTCACCCTTCTGCCTAGGTACAAAACTGTTAATAACTTCTGAAATATTGGTCAAAATTTGTGTGTCGACCACTGATTATATTAATTATCAAATAAATAAGCAAGTTAATATGTATGTTGCCTCTGAAAAATTTGATACCCTTATAAGATATAACGGATAAACTTAAAAATACTTCATGGTTTATTAATCTGAGAAAAATATGAAACTAAACAAAAATTATCAATATTATTTTTATTCTTCAATTAATTAAGTGGTTTATGATAAATGAATCACTCTGTAAAAAATAAATTTTATTGTATAACTACTTTTTGCTGTATTCCGATTGATTACGTTATTTCAAACAACATAACTTCAATCATCATTTAAAAAATTTCTTGAAATCTAACGTTATCTTGTATTAAATAATTTTGAAAATAAAAGTGTTTTGGCTCTTCGAAAAATATCGAGAGCCTAAATTAATAGGAGACATTATTTTTTATAACAAAATATTATTACGAGTCTAAAAAAACTTCAAAAGGACATTACTCACGAGTTAAAGGTTTGTTGAAAAAATTAAGTAGTTCCATTATTTATAAGAAATATTAATAAAGTTTAAAATCTCCATTTGATAAAGTGTTTTTTGTAAATTTATTTATTGAAAAATGTTGTAACAAATGCATGTATATAATTTTTTTATTCTAGTATTTATAAAAATAACATTTTTTTAAATTAAAAACATATTACCAAATGTCCTTAAAATGAATGAAGCTACCTCATTTTTGCAGTGCACATACTAGATTTTTATTAAATGTTTATATTGAAATAAGTTAATTTAATGATGATGGGAAATATTGTTGCTGATTCTATGAGAATCAATAAAAATTGTATTAAAAAAGAAACTCACCAAAATCTTTTAAATAATTGATATTATAAAAGATAATTGTTAAAATGTAAATACAGTTTAGCTACAATTATCTTCTTTAATAATGTATTTTGGTTACTGTGATTATGGAAATCATATTTTAATAGGAAATTGTGAAATCACTGAATACAATTTTTTGATGTTTTATAAATTGACTTGAAAAGTAACTGAAAGTAGCCATTAGGATATTGGATTTTGGCATAATTAAAGGAGCAATGCAAAAACAACTTATTAGTATAGCATTACTAGAATATAAAAAATAGAATATTAATATAGTTCGTATAACATGAAGATTTAAGTCGATTAAATTTATTAGGATATGATTTGTATAAACCTTATAATGAAATTAAGTGTTTTCTTAAGATTGATTCTATTCAAGAAGCTATTTATTTAATTGTGTGCATCTTAAACGAGTTATTAATACTCATATACTAATGAATATTAATAATACTAAAACTAACTTAAGACGAATTCTTCATATATTAGTTATTTTTAATTTTTTAATTATTCGGCAGTTTTACTCTAGACTAGCCATAAACATTAGAATAACTAGTTTTTATAGTTTTTAGTAAAAAAACACATACTTAATAATAATGAAAATTTACGTTAATGACATTTATTTTTAATTACCATAAATTATTGATATGACGTACAATTAATAAAATTTTTACCTCTTTATAAATGGTAAATATTGGTAGTCCTTATCAATATAGATTTATACTAATGATGAGAAAAGTTAGCAATCTAGTTTATTACATAGATATATGATTACAATTCTATTTTCTCTATAGAATATTTGTCTCTTATCATTAATCTAGTTTATCGTGAAAACAGTAACTAAATTATTGATGTATTTACAGTGCTATCAAACGGAATATGTAAAAAACTTATGTTAGTATGAATAATCATTAAAATAAAGGATTTTTATTTTCAAGTGTTGTTCAGTGGACCTTTTACTTATCAGCTGTCTAACTATACGCTGAAATAGTCAATATTGAACTGGATTTATACAGCAATTCAAAGTTATTAAATTTATTATCAATTTACGTCCACTAATATTTTCGTTAAATATTTTTTTTGTTTATTTGACAAAATACTTGTTAATTTAATCAACTTTTTATTCCT